TGAATAACAGATTTTTTAGAACACAGGACCACACTGATCACAATTTCATAATTAATCGGTTGATTTATAGGTATTGTTTACGTCTTCCCACTGGAGCATGTAGGTATATAATATGTATATTACTTATAAAATGTTAAAAGTTTCAATTACATTTGTATACGAATCTGCGATGAGTTTCGTCTATGTGCAATTGCGCCGTTGAAAACGTATTTCCAACCCGATAAATTGTTTGCCGATTTTCATGCAGCCTTATGAACGCTATGCGTAGGTACTTTTAAATAAATGTCTTTCTAAATTATACGACCAAGCAATTTTTTTATTATTATAGACGACAATATTTTCGACTCTCTTCGACAAACTATACCTACATGTGTAATAAACAAAGTATTTGTGTTTATGTTTGAAAAACCATAATAAATATAAGAAGTGAAATAAAAAAGTTATGTTTATTATCTTACCTACGCAAATAAAATGTATTGCTGACTATACCATAAAATAATAATATAATAGTATTGTTCCAGTGAATTATATATAATATAATGGAAAACGTAATTGTAATTTTTTTGTAAATTACAGTGAGAAAATGAACAATTGAAATTGTCTTCATACATACGTATATTTGCACAATGGAGAGTAAAAAAATAAAAATGACTTTGTGGAACCATAATAATCATAATACGTATAGGTATTAAGGTATGTCTAGTTTAAAGTGGTAGTTTTATTTTCTTAACTTTCTATACGGCGAAATAACAGTCAGCGTTATTTTCGAAAACTAAAAGGTGCATTCTAAAATAAGTTTCCCTGTGTAATATTATTTTGTCATTAGGACCTCCGGCACACCGGATATTATTGTTAACATAACTGTTGAAAATCTGTCGGTTTGTCAATTAGGATTCACACGTCAATATCAATCAGGCTGCCGGATGGGGTGCACACATATGGTTATTAAGTGGTGCCAGAAACAATTGGCCAATCTCTATTATTAACCCGCCTGCTGGCCGAGTGACGAGTTTTGAAAAAACAAAAAATAATAATAAACCGAAAATTGGAACACTGTCAGGGTATATTTCTAGAAATTCGTTGTTGAAAATGAAAATTCGTTTTTTGATATAAGCATATAAATACAATATATACATATTATGTATGTGTGTGTTATGTAATATTATATATATATAAATAATTGAATGCAAATCGATCATTCCTCGAGGCCAATGAAATATTATTATTATTACTATTATTATTATCATTATCATCATCATTATCATCATCGTCATCATAATCATCATCCGATTTGCTCCACGATGGGCGTCGGGACGAAGCACAATATAATAATAATTTTTAAATTACGTCTGCCGTGGGTGATTTATGAGTTACGGCGCGCTCATTTGAAATTGGCTTGTACGCTCGACTGTAAAACGGTATGGGTAAATTAGAAAATATTGTATACAGGGTGATTCTCTTTAACGACATGTTTATCGTTTCGTTATGTTTTATTATATTACATAATTGTATTTCCACTTCTAGACATGTTTCGAGATTTATAATAATTCTTTCCTATTTTATAAACCTATTTGTCATATTTTCATTGACGGTACAATATACAATATATTATTCCAATAAACATATTATTATAGAGATGTAATTAACTTCAAAATAACTGAATTTATTTTATGTCTAAAACTATAAGTATCTACTTGGAAATATTTGGTACGTAAACTTTATTTTTATAACAATATAGTACAACACACAATTATTGAGTAAGTTGTTTAAAATATAAAATAGTAGATTATTCAAGAAAAATGTTATAAGTTAACCTATACAATACATTTAAAACTGAAAGTGTAAACATTTTAATGTTTAAGATATAAAACTATGACTTTGTTAATAGCCACTAATTATATTTTATCCACTAAATGTTATGAATAAAATACCATAGGCAATTGAAGATGGAATAAAATAAAAGTTAATTTATCAGTCGATCAAAAAATAGTTACACAAACGTTTGGCAAAATATAGTTACAATATATTTTTAATTAATACCTACGATTACGACTAAATAAGTGAAATCCGGTAACAGTTCCAATGTTTCTACCACGAAAGTTCTGAGTTATACGTTTATAATAGGTGTTGGTCATTTATTTAATAATAAGATAATGTTTAATTCATATAGTTATAATTTACTAAATTACTTATTAGTTATTTTTTTTATATATATTTTTCATTTTAAAATACAGCTTTTCATTTAGTTGTAGGTATGTATATTATTCTTAGGTGAAAAGCATCTATAATCCTTATAAATCGTATTGAAATAAAAATAGTATTAAAATGATACAATAAGTCACTACACTATAGCAACCATTTTGGTGATAGGTCTATAAAAATTATGAATAAATGACATTAATCTATTTAAAAGGGATGTATTTATGTCTTTGAAATTATTTTTTATACATGGACTTACCATACCCTCAAATATTATAAACGATCCCCTGTTTCATCAACGTCGATGTGCCTCGTATAATACTCATGTAATGTATTATATAGGCGCCTATTATTATTATTTATTATTGTGACTATTCATGCTCCTGTTATTCCCACGCTAATCACACGGTCCAAGTGAACCTGCTGCACATACATCCCTTGGGTGACGCAAATACTACATCACTACAATAATGGTAATAATAATAATAATATTAAATAATAAAAAAAAAAATCTATTATAAAAAAGGAGGATAACTTCTGTTGACAGTTTACCTGGTCACCCCTTCTCATATATATATAATATTTTATACGCAGCGGTTAACGTGCAGCACAAAGGCCATCACTGCCTAAATTCGTCCAAGCTGGGTTTTTTTTTTGTGTGTAAAAGACATATATTATTATTATACAGCTGAGGCGAAATAAAAAAATTACACTGCACACACGCAGGCATGTATCTACACATATATTACATACACTCACACAAATATAATATTATAACAATAAAAGGAGCATTAAAACGTGACCGTACCGCCAAGGCGTCGGATTACTCGAAATTACCTGGTTGCCGACCGACAAATTGGTCCCCATTAAACTCGGTCACGTAATAGTGCATACTTGGAATTTTATACCTATGTATAACGTCTGCACACTATTTTCGTCGGAGTGTACTGCAGGTACTACATACCTATATATAAAACGATGGAAGCGATATTATAATATATGTTATATTTTTATCGTGACGAACGATACACAATAAATCGAGGCGACGGGCTCCGCCATCCGAACTTGCTGTGTGTGGGGGGGGGGGATTCGAACTTTCGAACGATTCGAGTTCCACAATATTGTGTTACATTATCAATATGAAATAGGTATATTTCACTATATTTTGACGTCGCACGTTTACAATAATAACGCTCGAGTATACCTACGGCGGCATTTACGCGCTTCGTTATTCGTGTCGAAATATCATTTTTTTTTTTTATTATTATTATTTTACCCGCCGCCGTTGTTTTTATCGACGGCGAGCTGCAATATCGCTTCGCAGTGTCCCAGCGGCTATTATAATAATCTGCAGTAACACTGCTTTGTAAACAATTTGCAATATATGTGCACGCGTGTGTTTGAATCGACGACGCGTCGAAAACCATATATGTACGGAATGCGTGTACTCTGCACCGATACGTGCCATTGTTGTAGTTTGTTTGTCGTTAAAATTGTCTCCGAGTCGAGGCAACAATATCAATATATACTTATATATATTATTATTATATGTGCACGTATAACCTACCTATTACTGTATTGAGCACTTCGCGTATAGGCATATGATATAAGTATATATGGGATAAATGTGATTTTAAATGAATCCCCCCGACGTACAAGTTAACTGACCTGATAATACGTCTATTATGATATTTTATGAACGGCATACTTAACTATAAGCGTTATCAATGGGACCTGCAGGCTGCGGTGGCGGTAAAAATAGGAAAACTGCAGTTCAATATATTATATTATACGTCATAATAGATTGCTATTGTAATCTCACAAAACAAAACCGTTAAATCTAACTATAAGCACACAAACTATTTTCTTATGATTAGTATAATATTTTATTACTTGTTTTAATACTGCTCATTTAAATCCATACGCCATATATATATACATACTACATACTATTTACTATATATATATAGTTTAAATATTTTAAATAAATAAGACAAAGCAATTTTTATTTATAATATACTAGCACGTGGGTTCTAAATATTGGATTAGTAAACTACTTGTAACTACATAAATATACCCATCCAATCTAAAACATGCATCATTTTTAAAATCAATTTTTTTTCAAATATACGTCAATTATTAGTACACAACGCGCGTCCATTTAAATCGAATACAATATTACACGAGTTTGTTTACGCTATACACAATATCATAGTAAAAAATATTGATTCAAAAATATGTATCTATCATACCTTAACGAATACTTGGGTGTACGAGCGTAGGTGAGAATATAATATATATTTTTTTTTACAGTTATCAAACAGATCCAACGCAAGTACTTACATTATAGGTACGTTCAAGGTAAACTGTCACCGAACAAATTCTTTTGTATAATATACCGTTGGCGTCTTAACATATTTTTATTCGATTAAACATACAGCACACATCCAATATCATACAGCTGCTGAACTTCGTAAATTTGTAACGCCCCGTCCTTAACGTTTTAGTTATAAATGTTATAATTTAAATATATAATACTAGACAGTATTATCCATGTAACATATTAAATCTGGGCAATAATTGGTATTTTTAAAATTAAAATATTGACCTCGTATAATCGTATGGGATATTTGTTGACCAACAGTATAGATATTGGTCAGATGAACCTTATCGACTGTTGATCATATTATTTCAACGTAGGTATGAGGTACCTATCTAGATATATTATATTTAGGTAATATTATTATTATACAAGTAATATGTCATCAAACGGAATAAAAAACATTGTACAATAATCGTACCTTTAACGTCGGTCGTTGTGACAATTTTTCTCAGGGCACATGGTCCGTTGATCCAAAAATATGAGAAATTTGAGATTTGGAAAACGCACTCGATTGACCGGCGGAAAATCGTCCGAAGATCCGTCCGTCTTCACAGCTACAGTCGTACGTTTTTTTCTTTTTTGGTGGTTTATTTTGTCAAGGAGAACTCGACGGTTATTTAAAATAACAATAATAATAATAAACTCGAAACACAGACCGAAATCGACGTCGACCGCGCAGCAGTTAATTTCGAAACGGATTGACGGCGGTAGAGAAGGACGGAGAGAAGATTAAAAAAAAAACCGATTCGACGGTAATATTTGAATATTATAATATTTTGTGTTCAAAAATAAAAAAAAAGCTCGTAATCCGACTCGTACGAAAAACGTTTCCGATCGACCGTGTGGCGCGCGCGTACGTCGTCCGTATAAACAGTGTGTGCGCCCTGGGCCGGTGTGCCGTAGTACTCTGGCGCCAGGCGCTCGGCCGCCGGCTCGTCCCCGGTCGGCACCGGTCGGCCGGCCCGTGTCCGCCCCCGCGCCGATTCGGCTCCGCCCCCACCGGCGCGGGGCCCCCATCGTGGAACAATTTTTTTTCCCGGCAGGCGCCTCCGCCGACATTAATGACAAATATAATAATATAACACCTACCCGTGTCAGTGTGTGTGCAGACGATGTCCGAGACGAGAGAGAGAGAGAGAGAGAGAGAGAGAGAGAAAGATGATTGTGAGAGACGACGGCCGAGAGAGAATAAAAAACACACGACCGGCACGTTATTATAATCATTATTATTATTATTATTATTATTCAAAACGTTTAACGAGCGTTAAATCGTTGGTCGGAGAGCCACCAAAGCGAAAACCGTCAAAACGGACGCGAGTACGCATACATGGGTACCTATATCGTATGTGTTATATAATAATATTATTAAATTATTATAACGCGCAATGAAAATAATATGATTGGTATAACCTATACGGCACGAGAGATGCATTTTTTTAAATTAATGAACCGGAATACAATCCGAAAGAATAATATACAACATTAAAACAACATAATTTATAACAGTAAAATATATTAACACGATAATATTTACTATTTAGCCATCTATTATATACATATTATATATTTTATTATTAGGTAATATCTAATACCTTATATAAATGAGGCGAGAAGTATAAGGTTTGTGGGTCAGTTTTTCGATCAGGAAAGTGCTGCTTATACGCCGATATCCTCTGATTCCTGTTTAAGAGTTAGAAACTATGTTTACCGACTCATTTTTTTGAAATAGTTATTCCCAATATGTAGACCGCTGCTGTAACACAACATACATTTAGAGTTAATTTAGTAGTTGTTTTTGCTTTAAAATACGCATTTACCTTCTCAGTTTAATTTAGACGAATTCACATTTTTTTTTAAACCTTCAATAAAAGTTCTCTGATTTATATACACTTTTTATACATTCGCCCCCGAATCCTATTTTATCTATGTTTTTGTCTGTATACCTATGTAAATACATTCTTTTCGGTTTGGTATTTAATATAAACTGCAATCTTCGCTTCCACTCTACAACATCATTTTTTATTTATAATTTAATTTGTTTTTGCATTTTAAAATGCATTAGTCTGAGTGTTCCGGTGTTCTTCACTTCATTTTTTCTTTTTTTTATATTTTATAAAAAAATAAATAAATTTTTATACTTTTTCCAGTAAACCTCAAAAAACATCTGAATAATCTTTAATTTTATTAACTTATAGTTGTAGTTTGCTTATTGGAATAGATTTCTGTCTCCTTTAAGATTTGAACATTGAGTTATAGCCCATTCAAATTCTTTTTTTTTTTAAAGTACATATCCGTGGATTTCTTACCTTTTTTTTTATTCATTTAATATCTAAGTTCCTTACCTTTGTATGCGTACATATATTATTAAAACTTTTTCTCAGCAATCACTTAGTAACATCATGCACTGACTATTCTAATGATTTTAAATTATTGCGGGTTTTTATAGCGGAATATATATCAATCTTCAGCTTCCATTACAAAAGAATAAATTGTATTATTCAATTTATATGAATTTATTAGCTAATTTTGGGTTGAATTTATTTAAGTAATTGTAAAATTTTAGATACTATAGATATATTATAGTTAAATCAAAGCAATAGTTTAATAAGTCATTCGCGGTGCATAAATCAATTTAGATAAAGAGGAATTAGGGTACTAGAACTCATAAACAAAATGAGTTAAGTCAAACCATTAAATTGACAAATGGGTGTAAAGTCATTGAAATCATGTAAAATAATAGAGTTTATATTATAATTTATAACTTTTAAGCATTGTGTAATTCAAATTACTCTAAACTAAACTCATTCATCCTTAAACATAACCACGGCATAGAATCTTCTTTTAACGCCAAACTTTCAAACATATTAAAAACCATACTAAAACTTTTATGATACCTGCAATCTATAAAGTCAGTCCTTTTGATCACATTCCGAATACATTTAAGTCGATAATATGTGTTGTAGGTCTGTACATAATACTAAAATAACAAAAACAATATTTTATAGTTAATAATTTATGTCAGTGATTATAACAAAATGTTATTAATATTACATATTTATATACTTAGTACTTAATACTATATACTCGAGTTTCTGCAGAGACTCAAATTGTGTGTACAACACACTAAACTACTAAAGGCTCTACAGTTGGTCTCTCTCTCGATTGATTTTGTGGGAAACGTTTTAATAGTTTTATAAGAAGAACATAATACATTTCTAAAAATTCAAAAAAAAAAAAATGTCATTTATTAATCGAATATCGACCAGAAAACATCAATAAAAAGTACTGTTGAATTATGATTTGCTTTCAAATTTAAAAACGGTGCACTCTAAATAAAAAAAAAAACTTTAAAAAAACGTTATCTTAAAAATGAACGATACATCTGCTGATACAGCTCTTAACAGAGTTCAGACAGACTGATATATGATATAATATTATGTTCGGTCGGCTGTTGCACAGTATACATTGTAGGTACAGTGTACACCGTAAATTATTATCTTGATGACGATATACATAACCTGATGATGGTAAACAACGTTAACACTAAACATGAATGCGTTTACTCGACATTTGTGGGATAATACTGATTGGAAGGACACAATGTAATACAATAATATAATATTATTGATACGTCGACTTCACTTTGAAACTATAGCGTTTAATTTTAGACGAAATATCGTATAATATTATTATATAGTATTTTAATACCCACGCCCGCACGCGTAGGAAAGCATGTCAAGTAAAAGTCCCACAACAGTATTCACATTATGAAGTCTGGTTATTGACCAAGTAATGTGCAATAAAATTATATTTATTTTTTACTCTTAATCCTGCTTGGACAATATCCAAGTATGAAAAATGTGCACATACGTAAGTAAACATATTATTTCCAATGCGCTGTGTCTCGGATGAAGAGAAAAGAAATATAATGGCTGAGTTTTAATATTATACAATTGAATGACTTACATTAAAAATTTTTCTTTACTTTTTATAATAATAATATAATATAGAGATAATACAGGGAGGTTCATTAGGATTGAAGTCAACCCGGATTTCACTTTTTAGAATTAGAATTTATAAATTTATAAGACACTGATTTTTTGGGATTTGTAAGAATATTAAAATACCTGGTTCTCATTTATTTAGATTGTTTATATAATCATACCATTTAAGCCTTAAGGAGTGTACTATGGCGATACTAACTTTTATTTTTCAATAAGAATCACCCTTTTTTTCTAGCAAATTGTTAAGCAGTCGATTTGTTTGAAAAAGTTTTAGTATTAAACCCAAATGCGAGTAATTTTATAAGTTACTGAGATGTTAAAAAGATAGTCCTCAAGTAAATACATTAATTTAAATTCCATAAATCAATATCTGACACAACGTATTATTAAAGAAACAAATGAGGATGAGTATGCTTTAATAAATCCCCCTACCTGTATTTCTAGTTTTTACTGTTTTTGTCAAAAATATATTAGATGTTTATACGTAATCATAGTTTTGTACATAATAATATACAGTTTGAAGTTATATTATCAATACGGGTATAATGACAAGTTATAGTGAATACAACACATTATATTAAAACAGTGTCATGTCATTGTATTATTATATTATATAGAATACATTTAGGTATATATTATTAAATATACACGTTTTATAGACTTATCTACTAACAGTAAGTTATCAATAAACCAAAATGGGTATGAAGTATATGAGTATATGAAAGTAAAGTAAGATCAGTAAACAATATTATTGTATTTAAACGACTATTCTTCCATCAAATTATTGAAATTAAAAAAAAGATAACTAAAAAAATATAAAATGCCTGGGGTTTCAGACTGTCAATGAAAATTACATTAAAAACAAATGTTAGGTACACGTTTAGAACTCGTGGATTATGAAAACATTAAAAACAAATACCTAAATCGAATATCAGTAAGTTCGAAGTTTGTCGTTCTCACGAGGTTTTAAGTATTAATTCATGAGGTAAAAAAACTCGCTGGTCGTTGCGTATTCCGTGTTTAATACAACAGTAAAGTTGTAGTGAGTATTATTAGTTTTAGTAGGTTGCATGGACGGGCGATATACCATAAAAATAATATGACGAGAATAATATCTCGGGTCCGAAAATGTATATTTAAAAAAAATTATATCTTAAATAATTTTCTTTTTTTTCTATTGTAAATGACTAATCAACAAATTTAATTATTTTAGCCATGATAACATAATTAAACGATAACATTATTTTTATAATTTTTTTGAAACAATTTATTATTATTATTATTTTATTTTTTATGAATGTAAATTTAATGATTAATGACCTTTAATAATTAGCTTGCACATACACATTAATATTATGAGATATAATCCATTTTTGGATTCTCTGAAGCCCAAATTATGTCGGACATTTGATTTGTTATGATGCATTCATGAAAATCAAATGAAAACCAGTACCTAATAGAATAATAAAATTATTATTTTTAGTAATAATGACTCAATTATTGTTTTTTTTTTCAGCGTTTTACAGTGTATATTTTTATAATATTATAATTTATTTAATATGGCAGTATATTATATGCTTTGAAAGAGTTGTTAATATTCATTCGAAGACCCATCAGTGGCTCGATAATAAGAGTTCTGTGTTATAAGTAAATAATATTAAAATAATTTCAGTATCTCGTACAACTGTAATAATTATTATTATTCACACGTCATTTTGAACAGTTGTTTATAAAATAACAATAATTATGGTCATAAATATTAAATACCCAGAAAAGTCTAGTGTTGATACTTTTCGAATTTATTATGCAAGATATTATAATATTATGTTTTGTGCCTTTATCAATAGCTATTCATGATAATATTTATAGTTTAAACTGATTGA